TCGCCGAAGGGCTCGTGGACGCATTGCAGGGTGTTCCGGCGAGTCATGAAGACCTGGAGGTGTGAGCGTAGTTCAAGGAAAGGTGAATAGATAAGAAGGTCTCCCGGACTCAACATACCCGCTCAAAGGCCGTAGAACAGGCCCTGGGATGAGTAGCCACAAAAATGGGCTTGTTCGACATCGTGAGTGCGGTGTAATGCAGTGTATTGGGAAGTAAAGTCTAGCAACAGTCTAAAGAGGTGAGATTCTGTGTTCCAAGAATCTCGATAAAGATCAACAGGGCGGGTATGCAAGTTCAAATATGTCTCAATCTGAACAAGCAGCAGCTACCGCGGCGGCCGAGCTAGCAAATTTAAAAGCGGGTTGTGGGTCGAGGGCTGGAAACGAAGCGGCGAGATGGTAATCAAAACTCCACGTTGTTGAGTGGGAAGCGCAGAGAGGCGACGGTCAGTTATACTAGCTGGGCTCGGGTGTTTGCTAGGATCAATGAGCAGCGCCGGAGGACACACGACAGGAGGGCTAGGGCGCTTGACATGTCTCACATCAATGGATGTCGTGGAACGGTGGCGTGGAGACAGAGGTTCGGGATGGGTCCAGCGAGGACAGGCGCTGCGGGATTCGTGGGGGAGGAGCACGGCAAACGCGCGGGAGCGAGCAGTGACAGAGCGGCATGCTCACAGTGGGGATGGCGCTTCGGATCGATCGGTCAAGAAGCACAAGTCCAAACGTCACTAGAAAAGCCGAACTCTTCTTTTGTGCCCGCGGTGACGACAGAGGGTTTTAATTTGCAGCTTTACCCCTCAGTTCTGGAGCGCTAGGTCCGCGTACGGTTAGTCGTGGCTAGTCTTTCCATTCACGCTTGGCAGGCGACCATCATCCTTACCTCACCTTTGGACTGAGTCACATTTCGATACAGATGATCTTGACTCCTCGTCTTGATTGACTATGCTCTGGAATGGATGGGATAAATACTATCGACTACCTATCGCCAGATATACCGCCACGCATACCGCCACGCATACCGCCAGACACCAAAGCGCTGGAATATGTAGATGAGATGGGTGAGAAGGCATATTTCTTCATGCTTATACCGTACAGTCCTGCGCTGCGATATACTGATCTCATGTTCTTCTTTCGCAACCTCCTCTCCCATCACTCCCGGGAACTTGCCAGAGGGCCGCATGCCTCTGCCATGCCCTCCATTTGTACAGCTCTTGGCGCTGCATCAACATTCGCCACTCCCTCATAATGTCTTCGTCGAATTGTATATCCTTGGAAACTATCGTACTAGGGAGCGCCAGGCTGTTCTCATCCGATTCGACTATTTGACGGGGAGTGTTGTACAAGTCGAAAGCTGCAAACGACGATACATCATAAGATCCAGCAAACGAATCCTCCCAAAGGTGTTGGAACCGGGAAATAAAAGCTTCGCATTTGGACGTAAAGCGAATCTGCTCATTGTTCGAAACCCGGCCCAGGTCTTCAATCATGGAAACACCAGGGATACTAACATGGCCCCCATCTGTTTGCATAGGAACCACCATCTCCCCATCTTCTGTATCATCCTCGGAATCGTTAAGTGCTTCTTGGGCTAAATCCAGCTCTGGACTATGCAGGAGATGGAATTCGTCAGCAAAGCACATGGCATCTCGATAGCCCGCTGGATACTCACTAGCCACCTCGTCCATATTGCTGGAACCGTCGACAGAGTTCTCAGAGGAGAAATCACCAACGACGAAGTTGCTTGAACCGTCCTCGGAATCGCACATTTCTTCTTGGCCTTGATCCAACCCCATCCCGGCATTGCTTCGGAGCTGAGCGTCGTCAGCGAACCGCAAGGCAACTTGCTGGTCTGCTAGAGACCTACTGCCCATATCGTTCTGCATCAAGCTTTGGTCAATATCGTCGTCATCTCTCTCAGAGAAGGAATCACTCACGGTGCGAATCTCGCAGAGTGGTATATCTGATGACTCTCTAGTAGGCGTTCGGAGCGGCTTGGAGCCTTGGCGAGATGAAACGCAGCATCTAGTAATCCAGATGATCCATTTCCACCGCGAAAAAGGTTCGCTTGGGCTCTTGACCTCAGCCGGTTTCGGCGGTATTTCTGGAGGGTATTCCGCCGTTACCATATCGAACTCCTCTCGGAATCGGGATTGACGGGGGCGAGATGGAGGAACGTAGGCTGCTATGTGGACCGCCGAGTCGATCCTGGGTTGGAGATTCGTTGGCGTCATCTTGTGATTTTCAAGGTGTGTCTGTGTCTTAGGGATGTGAGATTGTGTTGAGTGCACGTGCGGTTGAGGTGTATAATGAAGAGAAAGAAAGAAGGGAGAAATTGACCATTCTGGAACACTGTAGCATCTGAGAGGTTTCCGTGTGAACGCGAAATCTGTGACTGAACAATGTGTCTTTTCGATGGCTATGATGCTGCACAACACGGTCGGGCATGGTGGCTGTGCACAATGAACGCGATGGTGAGAAAGTTGACTTACTTTGAGATTACACGACGTTGAGATTAAATATTCGTGCTCAATATCAGGAGGGCAATGAAAACTAAAGTAGAGGATGCTGGAGGAGAGAACGAACGCGAGTGAAGTTATATGTGACCTATTCACTCTGAGACACTGTCTCAAAGCACGAAACAACTTCCAGAGACTTTTGTCTCACAGCACTTTCAGAGACAGTAGATTTCACCACGAGGGTAAAACAACAGAGTTGGTTTTATTTTCCCTGTCGTGTCTGCCTAAAGACCTTGCGCAGAGGATAGCGTACAAGCAGTTTGATGCAACGAAGAGGGTATAAGCAACTTAAAATATTACATAGATCCATATCCTCTTAGCTTAGAAGACAAGTTTTCGACTTGTTTCCATTTTCCACCGGTTACGCACTGTCTAAATACTCTATCATCTTCCATCGTTCCATCTGAATCCACCGGTCATCCCGGAAAGAGGCGTACGTTGATCTTGAATGCACTTTAGAGTAATAAAAATCAGAGGCCATATCGCGATGCGCCAACTCGGCACATTCTGAAAACACGAACCCCGTCTTTCTGGGTAAGATTCTCTGTTTAGTGGCCTCTGCGCTTATCGTTTCCGTTAACTATTACCACATCCTTCACGATTTGGCACTGAGCCTTGAACAGTACTTCTCCATGAGCAACTTAGCACAGCTTCGTTCTTCTCCGAGTCAGGGTTTGGCAGCTTCGCGACCTTCGTAGTTGACTTCGCGGTAGGCTTGAGGGAACTAGTTCTCTTGATATCCTTGGTTTCTGATAGCTTTATCTACATAAAGGGTAATAGAAGCGAGGGGCGCTTACATTGAATGTTGCTCGCAATCTCCATGCTCAAGTCTAATCTTCAGCCAGCCAGCACCTTTTTCTTCTTCTTCCTCTTCTTCTTTTTCATGAATGGGTGGAACGTTCACCTGTAGGTAGTCGCATAGGCAGTACAGTTGGATATTAGGACAGTTTGAGGGTTCTATCTACCTCTATCTTTATTTGTGAGACGGCGGTAAGATAATGCATTCCGGTATAAGACTGACCTGGAGACAAGATTACATAGAACAAGTAGCGGCAAAAGTTCATCTCCTATACCTTGCCTAAGAGCACGATAGATTAGCGAAATGTATAATTCAAGTATACTGCCTTTATAACGTGCTTTACAAGCAAGCTGAACATACAAGGGGGCTGAACACTAACAAACACCTCTAAAATTGCAAATCTGCAAAATTTATCTTAACAACTACATAAGAATAAGCTCTAAAATTTTAGATTTAGGCTCTTTTACTTGTAAAATGTAATCTACTTAACTTGTATATAGTTAAATATTACTAATTCTATCGATATTAAGAATAGAGGCTACTTTAGCTACTTTCTAATATGTCAATAAGTACTCTAGCAATAAGTTTAAACTATTACTGTATTACAAAGTATATATAGAAGCGCCTAAATCTGAAATTTTAGAGCTTATTTTTATATAGTTGTTAAGATAAATTTTGCAGATTTGCAATTTTTAGAGGTGTTTGTTAGTGTTCAGCCCCCTTGTATGTTCAGCTTGCTTGTAAAGCACGTTATAAAGGCATAAAAGGCATCTTATTTACTTAGATACCCGCCTTAACTCGTTGCAGGGGCGAAAAGAGTTGCCTAAGAAATGCTAACTAGAGAGTAAATTTCCAACAATAAAATAGTACGCACTAGAGCTAATAGCAGCTGCAAAGAGGAACTGAGGTGGATTATCCAATTCAAACATCCACGAGCTCGTGGGCACTAGACTCATCTGGAGAACTCCAGTCTCACCGTGCCTCCGAATCGTTAGGAAATTCCGATCCACGTCGAGCGCAACCTTCCACTGCTTTACGACGACATTGACTAGTATAAGGAGAATGAATTACAGAGAGGATAGGCGAGTCAACATACAGGAAACTTTACCTAGGCAGCAAATCCAAGCGAAGGATTTGAAATTTAAAGTTAGTGTACAAATCACGCTTTGTTGTATACAATTAGCCACACTTAAACCGAACAAGATGTGCATGCCTTACTCTAACGTATACGATAGTGCTGTAACAATGTGATATAAAGACTGGAGCCACGGTTTAGAGTTGAGTAGGGTGGTAAAAGGATCAGAAATTGTTGATTTCTTTTCTATTGGAAACTGCAGGACATGAGCTCGACCGTAGAGTTAGTTACGGATGAAGCTTATGTATATGTTACCTATAGCTAACATAATTATCCATTTTGTTTTATTTCAGGGCTTGCAGTTAGTTGAAACGGTATGTCTTATTTATTTGCTCGCTATATACATATGAACAGCGCAACGTCTAATATTAATACATCTCCCGTTCAATAAACTATAAACTATGTAATAAGAATGCATTTTGAATAAAAATAAGGTTCCTCGCTGTCGTGTTCGGCCCCGCCCAACACTTCTCGGTTCCTACCCCCGTTCGACCCTACAATGATTCCAACAATGCAAAATGCAAAAAGAAAAAAAGGAGTCACGTGATGCCGATAACTGGAATTGAACCAATGATCTTCGCATTTGCTTGAGGATACAAGTGCGACTGAAGAATAATTAGTAGAGTCGCCAATGAAGAGTTGGTTGATGAACTAACCGCGTTACCACTGCGCCATACCGGCCTTGGCCCAACCGAAATTGGGAGTGTTACTCGCAAGTTTTGCATATTTTCTAAATTAGAATATACTTGTACAGGAAGCTTGGGGTGAGGGGTAATGATGAGGTGAATTCTGATTGTGGGCTTCATGCCGAGTCTTCCGAGCCAATGGAGACATTGTGCTAGGCGGATACCCTTGTGCTAAGAATAGAAGATGCTTGGGCCTCCCATCACGTCACTGTACTTGCAGCATCATCAAATGAGATGTCATTCAAATACAGCAGAAGTACCAGCCTTACGCATGCCATCCTTCGCTGAAATACTTGCTAAGACATCTACATTGAAACTGATGGAATAAACGGACGCCATCTAGGTAATGACTTGACGTCGTTGTCGTATCGGAATCGTGTAGCCGACCAAAGGCAGTCCGCAAGAGCTAAATCTCGGACCCCTTAGCTACGTACGAGTGATCACCAATCCTTGCAAGAGAACTATGTATACAACTCGTTAGTGATACTCATCCAACGTTATATGTACCCTCGGAAATAATGAAGTGTTGAAAAGAACAACGTGCAAAATGCTCCTAGCTTCGAACGCCTCCGCAGTACGTCACGTGCCGTCTTGCCGGATTTGGTTCGGTCTGGGTTTTTCCGGCACCTTAATTGAACGCCTCAACGACGGTGCCGATATCGAGCCTCACTTCCCTTCCCCACCAAAGCAGAATCGACAGTTCACATTGAATCTGCAGGTGAAATTTCCGAGTTGCACTGAAAGCAGGCGTCTGCCTGCTCCGTATCCACATTAGCGTCGCGTGGCGAAGCCGTGGGTGGGCTCGCCTAAGCCTTCTCTCCGTGGCCGCAGCTCTCCCGCAGCACAGCATCATACTGCCACTTACCTCTAGGCAACCCACATACCGTATACGCCCTCCCCCACAGTCCTTACCATCCTCTACCCTCACCTCATCCATATCGCAGCCTCCTGCAGCCTCAAAGTAACGCTATGGCTGACGCCGAAGTGGACATCGCGCAGCTTACGGAGGACCAGCAACTCGCGCTTCAACAATTCACTGCGGTTACTGACCAGGAGACCAAGGATGCTATACCGCTATTACAGCGCTGCCAGTGGAACGTGCAGGTAGACTTCTACCCCAAATTCCACATCTCTATATTTTGAAGCCCACAATAGTAGATTGCGATAGCTCGCTTCTTCGACGGCGAACCTGCCGAAGACCCCATCGCCGCCGCTGCGACCTCCGGCTCAGATATCCCAGCCCCACAAGACACGCGACGACAAGAGACCCTCCTCAACGGCTTCACGAGCTCACCACGCTCCTCGACGTCAAGTAGGCGACGCGTCGATCCCGCACCCCGCATCGTGCCGCAACCGGAGAGCCAAGTGACGACTCAGGCCCCGCTGATTCTCACCATCTTCTTCACACCATTCAGCATTATATACTCGCTACTGTCAAAATACTTCCGCTTTATTGGGTACCTCTTCCCCTTTGTGCCGCGGTTTTGGGGACGTCTGACGGCAAGCAATATCAATTCTCCCGCGTCGCGCAGAACGACGAGCGGACGCCGGCCGCTGAATCCTCGGGATACGGCAGCGCGGTTCATACGGGAATTCGATGAGGAGTACGGGTCCCACAATCTCCCGTTCTTCGAGAATGCATATGCGCAAGCTTTCGACCTTGCAAAGAAGAACCTACAGTTCTTGTTGGTGATTTTAGTTTCTCCGGAGCACGACGAAACGGCATCCTTCATTCGGGAAACTCTCCTCTCACAGGAGGTGGTCGACTTCATCCGGAACCCGGAGAACAACATCATTCTGTGGGCGGGAAATGTGCAGGACTCGGAGGCCTACCAGGTTTCCGCCTCGCTGAACTGCACAAAGTTCCCCTTCGCGGGCCTGATTGTACACACACCGCAAGTATCCTCAACCGCAATGGGCGTCGCCACACGCATCACCGGTCCTACCCCGCCCGCACAATTCATTTCGAAGCTCCGAAAGGCCATGGCAGCGCATAGCGAGCCTTTGAACCGCGTCCGCGCCCAACGCACCGAACAACAAGCCACGCGTAGTATCCGCCAGCAACAAGATAGCGCATATGAGCGCTCTTTAGCCCAGGACCGCGAGCGCGCGCGCAAGAAGAAGGAAGAAGCTGAACGCAAGGCGAAAGAAGAGAGGGAAGCACTGGAACGCGAACAAGCGAAGGCGCTTTATGCGCAGAATCTTGAGCAATGGCGAAAATGGCGCGCGTGCCGGATCTCAGAGGAGCCTGGTCCAGAGCAAAAGGATGTCGTGCGTATCAGTCTCCGCATGCCGTCCGCTGAGCGTGTGGTCAGAAAGTTTGCAGCTGGTGCACACATCGAGGAGCTTTACGCTTTTGTTGAGTGCTATGAGATCTTGCAGTCGGGTGAGGTATCTGAGAAGTCTCGCGAGCCGCTGGGTTTCGAGCACGAGTACAAGTTCCAACTAGTTTCGCCCGTGCCCCGAGAGGTGTATGAATTGAAAGCCGGCGGCACGATCAAGGAGCGTATCGGCCGGAGCGGGAATCTCATCGTCGAGCGCACCGAGGTCGAATCCGAGGACGAGGACGAGGACGAGAAGTAGATACGACGACATTTCAAGAGGGGGTATGCATTAATCGGCGTTTCTCCATTAGCGTAAGCATCAGTACGCTTCTCCTTCGCTCGCAGATTTGATCATGAGATGGACGGATGGACGAGCTGAAGGATATACGTATGTATGATGAAGTCTCTCTACGGGTTAATAGATGGTACAGTGGTGAACGGGATCGGCGTTCGTGAGCTAATTGCAACACTAGCAGACGAGCTGTGTACAATGCGAAATTTTCATCACAACTGCGTGCCATTTGAAAATGCAATTTTCTAGCCACCAAAAGTATATGTACTTTGAGCTCGGAAGCATTTTGCCAGTATGCAGATGAGTTTACTAGATATCAGAAAGACATTGTCGACTGTAAAATATCATCTTCTCTTGCGAACGTGAATTTTCGTTTCTAGTAAGCCCTAGCACTGACAAGAAGATTTAGCAGAAATTGAGATACGTTAGGCGTTAAATATACTTCTACATACGTTCCAGTCGTACGAACTATCCTCGTCGCCAAACTAAACATCGTTGAGAAAATCAGAGTGACCCTCGACGCTGGCGCATATCAGGCTGATTATAATCCGCTACGAAGTTTCCTAGTCGATGAAGGATCCAACAGCCTCTGCTTGAAGAACCTTAAACGCCCTCATGAGGCCCCGTTATTCAAGGCACACGAGGAGCGAGTCTATTTCGACCACGTCACCCAACACTCCACAGATCCTTATCGTGGGGAATTATCTGTCATCCCTGTCCCGGCCTCCTTCAGCCATTCCCTAGGTCACTACATGAATTATGATGGATCGTTCTTGTTGAAAGACACCGAGGAGATGGAATCCTTGCCGAGGCTCAACCCCGGCCTATCAGGAGCCATTGTTTGGTCTAAGAACGCCAACATAGAAGAAGAAAATTCGTGGCCCTTCTACGTTGTTGAGAAGGGTATTCAGCCTGGATGGTCACGCATCGCTCTCAGCATCAATCGACCCCAATCCCAGGACTCAAAGACGGGATGGTCAGAACGACAATCTGAGACGACTACGATCAAACAGCTTGAGGTCATGGGCACTTCTTTCTATCCGGTGGCCCGCTCACTCCCTACCGTTGATGTCACGTTGTTCACCTACGACCCTAACATGAAGGACTTGAAGCGCGGGATCAACAGCATCGTCAGCACCATCCCCTCAGAAATTGACTCCAAGCAAGCAAAGTTGTCAAAGGAGATGGGCATGGAGGTCATCAAGGGCAGGAATGATCAATTACTTCCAGCCGTCAAGATGTGGTCTAAGGTTAACCGGGAGGTATTGCAATTGGCCAACAACGACGAGAGCATTAGGGCAGCACCTAGAATTATTCCCGACAGCAAGTACTAGAGAAGTGGCAGTATTACGCAAGGCTTTGCATTGTTGGAGATATTGGGATCGTAGGGCTGAAAGATGCTCTAGGCTTCCAAAATAAGCAGGAAACCCCAGATCATCACAAAACGCACCTACCCTGCTGTCCCTTCCACAAGCTACACATGTCAAGGTTCTATAGCGTGTATATTTGGTAGAAAATAGTGAATTAATTCTCAACTCATTGCTATCTAGCCGTTCAGGTAGTGAAAGTGAGGTATTGTGTTGCGCTGTGCTACATCCTTATTTCCTGCTTGAGGGGGACCGTTATTTGGAACCCGAGAAGTGTGGTGTAGGACCGAACACGAAGTAGCTCTGTTGCATATGGCACAGGGTACTATAAATACGTGTTCTAGCCTAAATTTACTACGTGCATCTGTTTATACAAACTGATTTCAATGGAGTATCTGCCTCCTACTTCTATTTACCTACTACGTACGATCCTTTTGCCATGCTACCTAGATCTAGACTAAGGTTGTAGGCATGATATCGCATATACACGGCCTGTTGTATACATCATAGCAGGGTGTACATACTAACGGTAGACCCTAGAATTGTTGCCAGAATTTGAGCACAAGTATTTAGCTCAACTCTTCCCATATCAATAGCGTCTCCTGATCAATTCTGAGGGCCTAGCCTATATAGTTATCTAATTACTTATCAAGGCTAGCGCACATCAATCCGACTTCGCTTCAAGATGAGGTCCAAACCACAAATATCCCAGACGTTACAGTGGTGTAAATACCAAGAGGTTATGTACCCAATTTCTATTCCCTTCTGTAACTTTTCCCTCTCCCCCAATTCCCATACAACCCTCAAAGGCCAAACCACTTCAAATCATCAGCCTCATGTACCGGCACCGTATGTCCAACCCCCTGCGCACTATACCCAACCAACTTAGTCCCATCGCCATACACCAACTGCGTATACCCAGACTGCGGCGTATTGGTAACATTCTTCGCAAACGCGACTCCCAAAAGGCCCGACCATTCCTTGAGCTGCTCCGCCAAGTTGGGATAGTTGA